AGCGCTCTCCAGTAGTGGTTAGGATATTCGTTTCTCTCAATGAATTCTCCGATAAACTTGGCCATATTTATTTATTGTTGTAGGCAACCGGAAAGTACTGAAGTATTCTTCGATTTTGCATAATGATAAGGAGTGCAATGCCACCCACTTAACCCGTTCTAACCAAGACCGCATTTCCAGAATCTCAATTAATTTTGCGTACGAATCCATAAATATATACTTTGAGGTGGCACATACACAATCCAGGCATCATTCGTCTCCCAAAGTGGATCGGATTTCCTGGGACTGGTAAATCCGCAGCCGCCGCCTGGTCTTGTTTTTAATATTGCCTCCTGTATACGGTGTTTTTTTCGGAACTCATTGTTCTGTCAGGTTTGAATAACTCAGAGTGGAATGGGTCATATAATTAAGTTTATGCAGGACTGCTATTGGGTGCGCAAATCCGGAATTCATTGTTGCAGTATTTAATCTAACATGAGACACCTCGTTCGATAGTCGACGTGCCAAAACCCAACTCTCCGAGTCATCTTAACGCGGTTATGACTGCTTGTTTCACAGTTGGTTTTAGATTGGGCCCGTCCCACTCTTTGAACCATACGCTTATCGGCAAGCGATCTCCTCTCCCTCGAGTCGCCTCTAGCGGGGCATATGCCCTTCGGCCGTCTACACGATGGCTTGAAAATCGACCTTCTCGCCATTACGACGCCAGAGCAGCCAGCCGCTCTCTCACCACCACCGCCGAGCGCGCCAACGCCTCTCAGGTTCTGACACTCCGACCAAATCGATATTATCGATTAGCAGGCTTACACTTCGGTCTTGCTGAGCGTAGGCACCATTTCCAAAAAAGTAGACGTCGGCGCCAAGCCAGCACGCCAATCTCTCTTACACGCCGGGTGCAGACCCGTTTTCCGCCCCGTCGCAATTCACAAATCCGGTCCACACTTTCTCACTCGCTCTCTCACTTGCCAACAGGGGGGGGGGCGGCTGTTACCATCTTACGATTTCAAGATAAAGTGGCCAGACTGCGTTCGAGGTGTTAGCAGATTATTGCCTGCACGGCTTCCCAGTCTGAGCACATATTTTGAGCCGTCGGTGCCCCGTGCTGCTCGCTATTGGGAGCAGTTTGCCCTGCGGATAACGCTGACTGAAGCCTAACTTCACCGCCTTCACGCAGTGCGCGTTTGACTCAAACTTCGACCTGCAATTGCTGTACGGAAGTATCAGAAGCATGCAGCCCTCTTCGCGTCCCTCTTCTCGAAGAGTATAGTGGAGATATCCTTGTCGTTGTCATCGAGTCAGTTCTGGCGCTTACGGCGTGCGTAACCGAGGGCTTCCATGGCGACGGTCAACATGATATCTTACCGTTCACCAACCGAGTCTCGACACTAGTACAGGTTTCCGGGATTATCAGTTGTTGGAGATTGTAGTTGATGCGAATGCCAAAACTGAATTAGCATCCGGCCGTATCAAGTAATACAGTGCTTAACTTACCCGATGTTTACCGACCTCACGGCAGCCTGCTTGGTTGCAACTCAATCTTCATCTCGAAGTTGACAAAACAGTGACCGGTGCAGCAGTCAGCACTGCACACTTACAGTGGGTGCGCTAACTCATGAAATGTTCACCAAAATCCTGAAATGCGTTTTCGATTCGAAAAGATTACTTAAGTAGAGTTGTAATATTAATCACAATGCAGCATAATCCCATAATAATACCATTTCTACAGGATGCCGGCTTTTGAACGAACTTATTTCCGGCCGCCCGCAGAAACTGAACTCTGTACAAAATGACTACATAATTAAAATGAATTTTCCTCACTAATTTTCGATGTCCTTATAGATTCAAATGTATCTCATAGAAAACAGTCCTAAAAATATATTTTTCTCTTATTCACTTGGTAGAAAACTACATCTTGAAATTTTATACTTGATGGAAGGGTAAAATTCGATGGTGGAAAGTTTCAAATTATGAGATTTTTTAGAACCGTGAAGTGTACATTCTTACAGCATCGCGTCCCTGCATTTACTAACGTTGCTTTTGAAGTTTACAGCATGGCCTAACTTCACTGCCAAATTTTATGAACACCACATGGTCTCCTTTTAACACCGTAGAGAAACGTATGGTTTTCCGTACGCGGAAGATGTACGGCCTGTGGTTTGGAAGCCCTGAATGCATGTTTAACGGCAGGTCGGGTCCAAAATTATTCGGTAATTGGAAAAGTTTTTAAAAACTGAATTATACCCTTTCTTTAAGTGTGAAATTTGAAGAAAACATAATGTTCTACTAAACGAATGAAAGAAAGAATATTTATTTGCATGTCCTCTATGAGGTATATTTGAATTTATAATGGCGTTGAAAATAAATGAGAAAAAGTCATACTACCTAGGCAGTTCTTTTTTACAGAATGTAGTTTTTGCAGATCGCCGGAAATAAGTTCGTCCAAAAACCAGCATACTGAAGTAACTGAATTATCATGGGATTATGCTGCGCGGTGATTAATGTTACAACCCTACATAAGTGATCTTTTCGAGTCGAGAACACATTTCAGAATTTCAGTTAACATTTCATGAGTTTGCACATCTGCTGTTCTCATTTACGAGCACGTCACGTTTGTCACGCTTCCAGTAGATGCCAGAGATGCAAACTGCGGTGCATGGACATCGCCTGATCCAGCATCGGAAGACGGACAAAGGTGTTGTTCAAAGGAAGACTGCGCTCTTCACAGACCAGCAGGAGGAGAAGTTGGTTTCTGTTACAGCTACCGATCTTGTGTTTACCGAGCACTACCTTAGAAGCAGCATAGTCTGTGACGAAGTGATCACTGAGGTAATCATGAACAATCAGTTTCTCCGCCTTCGGCAAAGTCACTAGGACATCGTGTTTTTCTTCGTAGAACTGTCTCTCCACGTCGTCGAGGCTGATCATTTCGAGGGCAACGCGAGTACTGACGACCTTTACGAATTTGTTCTGCCAAAGAGGCGGGCACGGACTTATGAGTCGAATATTGATTTTCTCACGACTTCTTTCGTGATGAGGAAATGATTTCGACATCCCAGTGTTCTGACCTGAGATGTCCATTCCAGAAAAAGATGCGTCTAATACCCACCTCATCCGGCTGTCCCTGCTCACAGAGGCGGGTCTTACCGAAAGTCGCTATATCCACTTCGTAGTGGACAAATTCGCGGATGATTAGAGACGTCCTTTCCATGCGATTCTCCATTGAATTTGTTTGGAATAGAACAAAAGTTCTAGACTGTCAGAATGTGCGGTGTTAATCGGGCAGTCTGCTGGGAGGCACGGAGATGGGGAGAGGGGAAGTTGTTTCTTGAAGTTTTTCGATTGCTCTTTTTGCTTCCATATGCCAAGGTCAGCCTGCCTACGACCTGTTTTATCATCACTTTTAGAGCACCTTTTCTAGCCCCCTCCCACTTCGCTCCGCGAGGGGGCAAACAGTGATACTTCCTAAATAGGACTGTTTAGCCATCGCAGGCGGCTGTCAGATTATCCTATGGGTCACGATATTTGTTTAGTGGGAAGACGACTCAAGTTAGCCTGGGCCGTCTACGAGATAGCATGTTGTCCTCTCCGCAGGATTTTTATTTTGTGGACTACCGAGTGTGGAGATACACACACGCATCGGACACCCTCATCTGCTTTTAGCCAGCCGGTCAAGTACGGTTACCAGAGTATGGCCGCCGTGCTGAGCCCGCCTACGTGGAGTCGAAGATGAGAAGTGGGTGCCGGGATGGGGTGAAGTAGAAGTATACACCATGTGCATCGATACGTTCGGCGGGACTGTCAGTGAATTGTTTGCGGGTATTTGTTACCACCAAAGTCATGGCTGCACTCGAAGACCTATTTTACGTCGCCTGGGCTACCCTTTCCTGCGTGGTAATAACCGGCAGCGCATGTGCACCAGATCACACTCGTCATTGTAATGTGCCACGTTCATCCAAACGCATCGTTGCACCTGAGTCCCCTCCCACGGCAACCCGATCGGGCTGTACTGACCACTTGGCTTGACCAAGGCCAGACTGCATCAGCCGAAAATCCGGCCTCTTGTCCTTGTAAGCCAGTTAGTTATGAGTGGAGAAATAAGAAGGGCTCACCGGAACAGGTTAAATGGAATGCTGACGCTTCGGCTGGCCATTGTCAACGCGTTAAGTCCTCACAATTGAACAGGAGTGGAAGCGGCGTGCCATGCTAGTCAGCCTTGGGTTGATCGATTTTACTTTTTTTCCTCGCTGCCACGGCCTTTTGGAGTACGTTTGGCGAGCTTGACGGCTGCGTGAACATGAGTCATCACACGGTTGGCTGAGTCTTTATGGGGCCGTTCGATCTGATGGCTCTTCCCCCCCCCCCCATCGGGTGAGTTCGTCATCGGGTAGTGTCTGCGCGATTTAAGTTGTGTCTGGCTGTCTTGTTTAGGGCTTTGTGTACGTTATGACGCATGACATTGCGAGCTGTAGGAAAGTCCAGATGCCTGTCGATAGAGTTGGCGTTTGAGTGTCATGCCTCAGTTGTTTGCCCCCTCGGTCTTAGTGCTGCCCTGCCTAAGATGCTTGCTCGTTCAAGGTCAAAATTATGGCCAGTTCCTCAATTGGTCGTTGCGAGTTGAGAGTTTAGCTCAAGCCTCTGAGATGACGATCCGTGTTCTTCCAGGCGGGTCTGCAATTTCCGCCCTGTTCCTCCGGACGTAGTTGCAGTCTCCACCATTGCAACGTGCTTTGGAGACAACTGGCGAGATTTCGGTGAGCGGCAGGGCGTCCTTAGTTTGCATCGAACAGTGACAAACTGTTGACTGGAATCGGTGGGATATGTCTAGTCTAGCGGCTTGTAACAATCGACGGTAAGATGGGGATATATAGTCCCACGATATGGACACAATACTGTCAGGGGTTAGGGCAACTATTTCTCAACCACTCAAAGTACAACCGCGCATTCCCAACAACCTTTCTTTTGCATACAACTACTTGCCCTCATCGCCTGTACGTTCGCCGGCCCTACCCGTAAAAGCCCCTATTTCCACCGGTCCCGTATTGTAGGCGGCTGGGGTTTGTTTACTCCAGCTAGAGCTACATAACCACATCTGACCCAATCCACTAACCGCCTCGGAATACCCATTCATGCATGGAATAGCCCGCCAATTTTTTTCCCCTCGCAACTCCTTTGTTAGTCGTCTGTTTGTTGGGCGCACGCTTTTCTCACTAAAACGACTGGGCTATCCATGGGCTCCGAGGAGATTACGAAGGCATAGTCTTTCAGCCCTTCTGTCCGCTGGCGTTCCGCAATGTGTCTCATCTCTTGGGAATGGAGTGCGACAGACGGTGATTCTTGTGACTTTTGTGAATACTGTAGTTTGCGGTTGCCCAGTTCACACATGAGAAGAAGGAGGTCGAGGCAAAGAAGTTGATTGTTAGTTTCGGCGCCCATCATAAATTGGATATTCGAGTCAAGTAAGTTCAGTAGTTCCTTAAGGTGCTGTATGTCAGCTGTTCTGAGAACGAAGAAGGTGTCGTCAACATAACGAACCCAGAACTCTGTTTGATACTTGGTGGACACCAAGTGTTTTATCGCTTTAAAGACTACTTCAGCATTTAGGCCCCATCTATAGGAGCCTATGCGAGTGTGTTGGATTTGTTCGTACACTTTCCCGCCAGAGGTGAAATAGATTTTATGGCAGTGTCGTAGAAGCAGGAGTAGGTGCTCGAACTTCAAGGACTTATCTCGTAACAGTATTCAGCCAATAGTTAATTCACAACGTCTATCGTCAGATGTTGTGTGATGGAGATGAAGGGCGAAGCGGCATCAAAGGACGCCATAGACTCATCTGGCTCTAAATTCGGATGATTTATGCATTCAAAGAATTGGTCAGCAGAAGCTACTACTGGTGGCGGCGATCCTTCGGCCAGAAATTTAAGACAAACAAGCATTCATTTTACACGGCCATATGTGGGGGTGCCACGTAGGCAGACGATGGGCCTGAGTGAGTACGTTTGTTCTGTGTACCTTCAGCAGACCCAGATAAGGGGTCGCGGCAGAAGTAGGGGATTTCGTAGAGGGTGTGGTTGCCCCTTCAGCTTCGATTTTCTTCAGTCTTTTGGTCACCAAGCAGGCCTCGTGCCTTGTAGTCCGATTTATTGAGAACTACTGCGAAACGGTCCTTATCAGCCGGCAGTATAAGTAAGTCCTCATCCGCCTTTGAGGTATTTTGTTGCTCACTATTTCGCATCTTTTGTGTCGCATTAATGCGAGGAGGTTTGGCCTCAGACCAAGACTTTCGTCGCCTCCGGTGCCTTTGTCAGTTGGAGAGCGAATTAGAAGGCAGCAATAAACTGTAGGAGTGACGTCTGCTGTTTTGAAATTGGCTTCACGTTCAAAGGACTGCAAGTCGTGTGCCGGGTAGGGGTTTCGAGAACAGAGACGCCGGGCGATTCGTCTGAGTTTGTTTGTTGCAGTTTTGCCAGTTTTATTGAAAAGTACCTTTCGGACATGTTTTTGAATGTTTTCCGCCATATTATTCGACTCCTTACTAGAAATATAATCTACACTGGTCAGTCTCTAGGTTGTAACACTGCAGTTGAAATCGTGAATTAGTATACTTGCCATTCTTAGGCCATGTCGCGCCACAGTCTCCCTTGCTAGAAGTCACAAAAAGTTAGTAAGTGACGCATTTTGGAGTCGATTGGTTGACGAGGCGGCTGTCAAGGGCGTTCAGTTATGCTTGAGTTGACGCAATCCGCTGGACAAATCTCTCCCAACAGCGCGTTGCATGGAGTGCTGGCGTCAAAAAAAACAGTGTGCTAAGATTGACAAAGGTGAGAGATACCGAGCTGACAAAAAGTGACAACTCCGAAGCCGTCTCGCCACTTTTTCCTGAAATCGTAAGATGATTACAGCTGCCCCGTTGGCAAGTGACTGAAGGAGAGGGGAAAGTGTTGACTGGATCTGCCTGTTGACGCAGTGAAGAGAACGCGTCGGCGTCCAGAGCGCAAGCTTGGCGTCAGTGTTCGCTTTAGCGGGCATGGTGCCTACGGCCGGCAAGACGAAAGTGTAGGCCTGCTAATCGATAAAATCGATTTTGCCAGATGTCAGAACCAGAGAGCCGTTCGCGCACGTTCGGCGGGGGCGGGAGAGCGGCTGGTCACCTTAACTGTACTGGCGTCCTAGTGAAGATATGGTCGATTTTCAAGCAAACGTGCCGATTGACGAAGAGCGTATGCCCCGCTTCACGAGACCTCGGGGACTTGCAGACAAGCGTGCGCCCCGAAGAGTCCGACAGGCCGAATCCAACTGTTGAATAAGCGCTCATAACTGCGCTGCGGTGACGCAAAGGGTTTGGTTTGGGCACGTCGACTGCCGGCCAAAATTTCGTATGCTAGCTGTAGGAACTGCAATAAAACAACTGCAGACTGTTATTACTATAGTTCTCCTTGCCCCACGGCTTCGCGGGCTAAACATTCGCCTAAAGCCTGACTTTGGGTCTGGTTAACTCGACTTATCACAAAGTCTCGAACAGGAATGAAATCGCAGGTGTCGATTAGCTATCAACTTCTAACACGAGGGTGTCTAACGAGAACCGATGTGTCTTGGGCCCAATCAATAACCAGTATGCAGGCCCACACGATCGAAAAAGAATGACGGACCTGGACATTACGCGCGGGGTCTGGGGATTCGTAATGCACCTGCAACTCAGAGCAGAAACATCAGGACTTCGGCGTAGTAGCGCCTTGAACTTGCCCTCCTCACCAAGGTGTGCTGAGGGGTGTAGTATCTGGACGCAGATATATTTCTTTGCACTCGAATACACAACCAGAGGTAGCAACGAATAATGAATCAGAACAGTCAGTATAGACAACCTGTTTAGGCGATACTATCTGCTGTTTCGGGGCTACAGCCGAACATTTACCTTTTCGTATGCATCAGACACTTCCACTTTTACCACGGCTGTGCATCTGGCAAAAGCAAGCAACAGAGCGATTCAGTCGTTTAGAATTTTCGGACTAGAGGGTCCGCCGGCGGTCGCCCATTTCAGACCATCCTCAACCAGCCGTCCGTAATTTTCGAAGGAGCCATCCACCAATTTTTCCAAGTGGACACCAACGACGAGGTCGGTATTCGTCTCCTTTTAGAGGCACTCAGACCAGTGCAACAGCCGTGAGGTGGAAAGGCTGTGATAACAGACACTATTTCAGCCGAAGTCGATTAGTACGACGACCC